TGTAGTTTTTCTCCATTGATCATCAAGAAGAGTCCAAAAGAAATTAAATAAGAATTCTTAGGTCAAAGTTTTAAAAAATGTTTGTGGAATTTCCCATCACTTTGAAAAGATCTTAATAATAGTGAAAAATTCATAAAGGAACATGCCATAGAATAAGATTTTTATTTAAATCATGACCTTATGCCTTTATATCCAAATGACTTTAGTACTTAGATATGACCAAAAAAGCAGAGTAAAGCACTGGGAAATGTGAGGTAAGTTTTACCATGAGGGAGAATAATAGCAAGTTCAATAATAATTGAACTAAAAAATAATAGTTGAGTTCAATATATAGTTATGGAGTGTACAACTATGTGTAGCTACTGTGCTAGGCATTGTGAGAAGGCGAAGTGGAACGTGCCATGGACCTGACTTTAAATGGTTTATCTCCCTAAAAGAAGAAATAAGATAAATATTAAAATACTTATAATATGAGATACTTTTTAAAAACACAGGAGACAAAGATTGATTCCAGTGCAGAGAAATGGAGTAGAACCTCGCAGAAGTATATTTCCAACAGTCAAAAATGGAATAATGTTGATTAAAATACCTGTTTTAAGGTTTACATGTTGTTTTTAAAGTATTGAAATAATATCTTTGTGATATAAGACTACACTTATACTTTTTAGCTAAAATATTATGTATTCACATGATGACAGATGGCATTAAAATTTTGAACTCAGCAAAGATGCACTCATTTTGAAATATTTCCATTTCTCCCAATCCCCAAGAGCACAAGGAAAATGACAATGGACAAAGCAAGCTCCTGTTGAAAGATGATTTCGCTCTAATTCAAGAACCAAAGTGGAAATATGGTAGTATTTACATTTATGTAAGTTATTATGAATCAGCATTTTCATCTATAAACAATGAACTAAAGATAAAGACAAGCCAGAATACTTTCTTTGAAACAAAGCTAGTGTGCTATCATTTGAAACACCTTCAGACACATACTTGCACACATACGTCACCAAAAGCCGGTCCAAAAACTGTCTTTAACCCTATCAAACAAGAAATGGAATTCATGGACAACTTTCATTTGAGGATAGCATAGACTCGAAGCCTCACCATTTCTCCACTAGTGCAAGGTCAGAAAGAGCTTTACACAAGCAACATTAATATTAACAAACTCTATTATTAAAGAGTATAATACTTTTAAATCTTATAGTTACTTTCCTTATTGTTATTTGGTGTTAACTTTTTAAACAATAATCTATTTTAATAATTTCTATCTTCTGATACAAAGCGGGAGGTGGAAGCCTGATTTGGACAGTCACAGGAGAAGTTACAGAAGAATTCTGAATAGAAGTGCAGCATGATCAGAGTTTAAAGAGTAGTGGCATGAGGACAAACTAGAGAATAGTGAGGCAAGACATGCAAAGACCAAAAGGAATGGCTCAGCTGACACTTTTATCTGAACCACAACCAGTAGTAATGCACTGGATAGTGATGCTCATAAAAGCACTAGGCATGCCGAGAAAGAAAAAAAATGGCCATGCACGAGGGGCAAGTCTGCATTACTGGTGAGTTTGCCTTTGGTCCATTTCCACTCCCCTCACTGCCCTCATGCCCCAAACGAGAACTTTCTTTTTTCAAAGCTTGTTTTGAAATCTTTAATTGAGCTGCCTTCCTAAAATTTAATTTGTACATAATCACTGGCTCATCAAATTCAACATGTTGAAAAGCTAACACCTCATTCCTACCCACAGCCTGTACACACACTACTCCTCCTGTATTTCCCATCTCAGCTGTGACAGCTGCGTCTTCCACAGCACCCAGATGAAAATTTCAACCTTTTTTGGGGGGGGCGGGGGCTTACTAGGAGGTCATCAAGTCATATATAATCCACCTTCTGACAATATCTAAAAACTACCCCAGCTTTCCATCCCCATTGACAATCAAGACTCTTACTATTATATCTTTTCTTGCCTGGAAAATCATTCAAAATGGATTTCACTGCTTCTTCAGATCTACTTCCTCCTCTCAATAATCCACTTCCCATTCTGCTACCCAAAAGATTTTCCTGCATGCAAATATGATAAAACTATGGCCTTGCTTCAAATTATTAAATATATTTTCACTGTCTTCAAGGTGGATGAGAAACTTACTATGAGTTACAACGTCATTTAGGATCTAGCCCCTGCCCCCTGGAGTTTCCTCTCCTCCTGTGTTCCCACACATGCTTTGCTGCCTAACTGCCAGACTGCCATCTTGAAGTATCCTGAGCAGCCTTAACTCTCTAACAGCCTTGGACATGCTTCCCTGGCCTAGAATGCCCTTCTCTGCATCCCCCGCCGTGTCCATTTCCTATTGCTGCTGTAATGAATTATCACAAAGTTAGTGGCTTAAAACAACATTAATTTATTTCTTATGATCTGGAGACTAGAAATTAGACATCAGTCTCATTGTACTGAAGTCAAGGTGTCAGAGGACTGATTCCCTCTGGGTGCTCTGAGGAAGTATCCATTGCCTTCCCTTTTCTCTTCTGGAGGCCACGTGCATTCCTTGGCTGGCAGCCCCTTCCTTGCACACTGCTCTGACCTCTGGTTTCCACTACATCTCCTCTCTGTTATCAAATTTCCCTCTGCCTCTCTTTTATAAAGAGATTTACCATTGCATTTATGGCCTACACAGATCATTCAGGATATTCTTTCACCACAAGATCCTTCATTTAATCCTATCTAAAAAATCCCTTTTACTGTAAAAGGTGACGTTCCTGGATTCCAAAGATTAGAATCTGGATATCTTTGAGGTGATTATTCAGCCTATCACACCCACTATTTTGGACCTCAGCCTTTCCAGATACTGCTTAAACATTTTCTCTCCTCTGGGAATTTTTCTTACATGTTATTTTTCCCCATAGTTACCCCCAGTTACTCCCAGCTGGGTATCTCACTAAAGGACTGACTGTTTGGGATTGGCTGGGGCTGAATGGGCTCCCAGGACACAGGAATTTCAGTGCTAAAACCAGATAACTTCCAGGCAAATCAGGATGTGTGTGTCATTCTAAGCCTTCACATTTCTTCCCACATCACTCTCTAAGTATCGCTTATCACATTGGACTACAATTTATAATTTTCAGTTCTCTTGTCTTTCTCTTTTGCTTAGCTATGGTGGGAATATGCTTCTTTTGTACTTATGATGCCAAGCCTCAGTTTCTGCACACTGTTGATGCTCTATGAGTGAATGGGCATTAATGGAGTTTGTGAGGCAGCCCTGAAAAAGCATATAATTTAGGCAAAATGGAATTTTCCCATCTGGGGAGTGGAATGAAAACAAAACAGAACAGAACACTAAACACCAGGATGTTCTCTTGGTTATTTTTTTCTTTCCATTTCTTTTCTTTTCTTTTTTTCATCTACACTTGCAAATTTGAGTTAAACTACACACAGTTCTTTGCAAGAATCCAAATATTCACAGTTTTTTACAGAACATGCTGTCTTCAAACAGTCTCCACTATTCATAGCTGATTGCTTCACCACTGTCTTGTCTTGCTTGTTTCATGAAAGCCCCTTGCCATAAACAAAGCAGATTGAAAATAGAAAATTTGGGGCCAGGTTCTGGGAATCTTATAACATTTCTTTATTTTCTTATATGCTGATAAATCTGACTCATTCTGGGAATTTAAATCATGAATATTACATCACCTGGAAGTACCAGACAAGTGACTCACTTTGATATCACTTCTAGTTATGCTCCAGTCAACTTTGTTTACATCTACAAGTATCCATTGGCAAAGGTGCCCGCAAATTAGCTAGAGTTACTGGAAATATAACTAAGATAAACATTAAAAAGCAAGATTCAGACAAAGGCAACATCTAGCCAGAGATATTGACTGTACAGTCCTTCTTGAGAGAAAAGTCATTTCTGTTGGTGAGTAGTGAATATGTTTGTGCCCTGATACCAAGTGTGTCTACTTGTTCCCGAATATGAAGGGAAATCCTGGGCAAGGCAAGAGAATGGGGACAAGGAATAGTTCAATAACACATCTTCTGTTGCTCATATTTTTATTAAAGAGAAAATTAAAACATAAGTCACATATACAAAATTTATGTCACATATACAAAAACAGAAGCTCTGTGAAAAGATAGACATTGCTGATGAATGAGAAAATGAAACTTGAAACATTTAAACACTATTAATTAGTTTGATCAATGTATATCTAGATCTATAATGATAAGCTTTGCTTTTTATATGTAATTATATCAGATCAACAAACGTGAAGAATTCAGTGCAAACACAATTAAAGGGAAATATTTGGAAGACCCCCAAAATATAATGCTATACTTAAATGTACATGTATTTTTAGTTTAGAAAAATACCTTAAGCTCTACTTAAGATTTATAAATCTTTTCTCTAATGTATGATGAGAGGGAAAAGGTTTTAATGTTTCTCCTCAAGAACATCATATCTAATTTCAGTTAATTTGAATTTTCCCTGAATGGGTATAATCTGCAAAGGATTAGGACAGACTGCTCTACCCAAATGTAAACACTAAATCCCTAATTTGAATCCTGCTTACACAATTCTTTAAATTTACCCATTATTTGCTTACAAGCAAGTCACCATAGTTATAATTTCACCAAATATCCATTGAAGAGTAATCTATTAAAAGAGTACGGATTGGTTTTTACTACCTAGTGAGTGGCAAGGCTGAATTTTAAAACCAACTATAGGGGAAACCAGTTTTCCTTAAATGTTTATGCTGCCCATGCATGAGGAGACTAGGCTTCTGGAGAGGAAGAGGAAGAGGGAATATACCCGCTCTTTCTACAGGTTCTGGCTTTCTGGTTACTCTACTCCATCAAATAGAAAACAGTGAGAATCATGAAGCTGCTTTACATAATCTCTTTTACCTAACCATGAAAGAAATTCAGAGGCTCAACTAAGGTCATGTTAAATGTTAACTTCTACCAGGAATTAAAGCTGAAAGGTTCACCAGCAGAACAGAAATGTCATATTTTATGAATCCACAGTGAACTGGCCTCTATCCTGTTTACAAATGGTAGGTGGCATTAATAATTTAAAATAGCTACACATCTACAAATAATTTATTTATCTTCATGATATTTTGTGTTTCTTTTTTATTTTTTTTTTAATTTGTGACTTTCTATCCAGGTGAGTATTTTACTCCTCTGTGTCTCTAATATCTTACCTTAGAATTTTAGAATTTCAGAGTTGAAAGGGATCATCTAAGGCAGTGGCTCCTAGAATTATTTAATTGTGTTAACTAGCAAAAGTTTTTCAAATTTGGTAACTGAATTAAAGTTGCAAACTTTGTATTTTGTCTGGTAGATTGAAAAACAAGACAGAATATACAACTACCATCAACCATCATCATCAATTTATAAAACAGAGTATATTTTCATCCAAAAGAAAATAGAAGGCTATAATCTTCAGGGGAAAATGAGAGAGAAAAATATATTTGAATAAATCTGGTTATCTGAAAAGCTTACCAACTTGTTTTCTCTTTAATCACAGACTGGGTAAAACTTTATCCAACATGGACTCTGATCTACAGACTATAGTGTGGGAATCTCTGATATAATTTCAGCTCCTAACCTTCAACTGAAGAAATGAAAACTTGAGGTCATTTAACCAAAATCACTGTGTAAGTTAGGGATCTCCAGAGAAATAGTATTAATAAGCTAGACATACATACCTAGAGAGAGAGAGATTTATTTTTATAAAGAAGCGACTCACATAATTGTGGATAAAGGCAAGTCCAAAATCTATGGAGTAGGCCAGCAATCTTGATTCGAAAGGTTCAAAACTCAAGCAGAATTTCCAAGTTGCAGTTTTGAGACAATTCCTCCTTCTTCAGGAAACCTCAGTCTTTGACCTTAAGGTTTTTAACTGATTGGAAGAGGTTCACCCATATTATAGAGCACAGGTGGCAAACGCAAGCCTCACAGGTGGAATCCAGCCCTCTACCTTGTTTTATCCTGCCCAGCACCTTGTTTCTACCCAGCGGCAGCACCAAGCTCCTTGCCCCTAGTTAAGGAGTAATTACATTTACACAGTCCCAAAATTATATTCAGCCCTTTGAAGGCAACCATGAGGCTGATGTGGCCCCCAGTGAAAATGAGTTTGACACCCCATATGCTTTACTCAAAGTCAACTGATTGTAAATGTCAATCACATCTAAAAAATACCCTTACAGAACACTGGACAATATAGTCTAGCAATATTGACACAAAAAAGAAATCATCACAGTTACAGAGAGAATTAGTTTTGGGTGGTGAGGTCATCTGTCTTCCTATATAGTAGTCCTCCTTTATTTGTGGTTTTATTTTCTGCTTCTTCAATTACCCCCAGTGAACCACCATCTGAAAATATTAAATGGAAAATTCCAGAACTAAACTATGTATAAGTTTTAAATTGTGCAACATTCTAAGTTGCATAATGAAATTTCACACTGTCTCATTCTGTCCAGCTCAGTACATGAATCATTGCTTTTTCCACTGTACCTGCACCCTATATGCTACCCACATATTAGTCTATAGCTGTATCATCAGTAGGTCAGTGGTAGCCTAACACTACATAATGCCTACATCATTCATTTCTCTTTATCTTATCATATAGGTATTGTAACATCTCATTTCATCATTATAAGAAGGGTGAGTACAGTACAGTAAGGTATTGTGAAAGACAACATTCATATAACTTTTATTACTGTATATTATTATAATTGCTATATTTTATTAGACATTATTCTTTTATTATGACTAATTTATAAATATGCTTCATTATAGGTATGTACATATGTATAGATTGCTATAAACCTCCCTCTCAGGACTGTCTTCACTGTATCTGTAACTTTTGAGTTGTTGTGAGTTCATTTTCATTTGTTTCCAGAAACTTTTTGATTTCTTCCTTGATATCATTCTTGACCCAATTCATTGTTTAATAGCACACTATTCAATCTCCATGAGTTTAAGTGTTTTTGAGCTTTTTACTTCAGGTTGGTTTCTAGTTTCAGTCCCTTATAGTCTAAGAAAATGCTTGATATAATTTCAGTTTTTATGAATTTGTTGAGGCTTGTTTTGTGTCCTATCATGTGATCTAACTTTTATAATGTCCCATGTACATTTGAGAAGAATGTGTATTTTTCTTCTTTGGGAAGAAAGACTATATATATATCAGTTAAGGCCATTTGATCTAGGGCATTGTTCAATGCCACAATGTTTTTGTTGATATTTTGTTTGGGAGATCTGTCCCTTTTTGACAGTGGGGCATTAAAATCCCTTACTATAAGTGTTGCTATAAATATCTTTCTTGAAGTCTTCAAAGATTTTCTTATGTATTTGGGTGCTCCTATGTTGGGTGCATATATATTTACAATGTTTATGTCTTCTTGATGGACTCTTCCCTTGAGTATTATGAAGTGACCTTCTGGATCTCTTTCTATGGCCCTTTTTTTGAAGTCTATTTTGTCTGATATGAGTTTTGCTACTACAGCTTTTTTTCCCCTGTCCATTTGCTTGGAATATCTAATTCCATCCCTTCACTTTCAGTCTATGTAGGTCTTTTGTCCTGAGGTGGGTCTCTTGTAGGCAGCATATGTGTGGGTCATGCTTTCTTATCCATTCAGCTATTCTATGTCTTTTGATTGGAGCATTTCACCCATTTATGTTTACGGTTATTATTGATAGGTACTTATTCATTGCCATTTTTTGTACCTATGTTCTTCTCTCTCTCACTCTTTTTCTTCCTTTTCTTAAAGCAGTCCCTTTAGCATCTCTTGCAGAGCTGGTTTGGTGGAAGTGTATTCTTGTAGACTTCTCTTGTGTGGGAAGCTCCTTATTTGGCCTTCCATTTTCATTGAGAGCCTTGCTGGATAGAGTAGTCTTGGTTGCAGGCCTCTGGTTCTCATTACCTGAAATATTTCTTGCCATTCTCTTCTGGCTTGAAGTGTTTCCATTGAGAAGTCACTATTAGCCTTATTGGGGCTCCATTGTATGTTACTCCCTGTCTATTCCTTGCTGCCTTAAAGATTCTCTCTTTGTCTTGGAATTTTGCCATTTTAATTTTGATGTGTCTTGAAGTGGGCCTCTTTAGGTTCTTCTTGATTGGGATTTTCTGTGTTTCCTGGATTTGTGTGACTTTTTCTCTCATAAAATTAGGGAAGTTTTCCATCATTACTTTTTCAAACAGGTTTTCTATTCCTTTCTCTTCTTCTTCTCCTTTTGGTATTGCTATTATACGGTTATTATTATGTTTCATATTATCTTGCAGCTCCCTTACCAACTGTTCATTCTTTCTGAGTCTCTTTTCCTTTTATTGCTCTTTCTGGGTGTTTTTTTCTACCTAGTCCTCCAGCTCACTGATTCGATCCTCTGCTACATTCAGCCTGCTTGTAATTCTTTCCAATGTGTTTTTTATTTCTGAGATTTTATTGTTCATTTCTCCCTGTTTTTTCTTCATAGTTTCTATTTTCTTTTTTATACTGTTGTAGTTCTCACTCAGTTCCTTGTATTTATCTGTGAATTTCTTGAGCATCTTCATAACCATTATTTTTCATTCTATATCTGATAGTTTGGTTACATGCATTTTGTTTAGCTGTTTTAGTGGGGAGTCTTCCATTCCTTTTGATTGTTCTTTCTCTATCTCCCCATTTTAGGTGACTCCTTTGTTTGTTTCTGTGCTTCCTGATGTTTTGCTTTGCTAGCTGTCTTTGTAGGGTGAACTTCCATAATAGGAATTCTATGAGGTTCAGCGGTGTGATCTCTTTGATCCCCTCGTCTGGAGGCTCTAGGTTTGCCCTTTCTTCTCTTTGTGTGGGCTTTCTTGTTGTGCTCATGTTTTTGCCTTTTGGTGGTTTCTTTGTTGGTGATTTCTCTCCTCCAGCAGGTATACTGATGTTTGCGGTTCCCACCTATTCTTGTATGTGATAATGGCAGGTTGTAGGCAAAATGGATTAAAACAGTGGGAGAGCATTTTTATGGGATTTAAACTACCAGCAAGTAGAGAAGAGATAGGAGATTCTTTGGATAAGTATAGCATTAACTGTGAAAATTTACCCAACTAGCCACCTTTCTTTCATAAAAAGTGAAAGAGTGGTAAGACTCTTGTTAGAGGGGAGAAGGACTGTGAGCTGAATCCAGAAAACAGAGTGCTTATGCAAGGTTAGATGATGAGATATAGTGAGAGTAAAGGATAGAAAGTAGGCATAGTGTGAGTTATGCATAGAGTTAACCAGAACAAAAATAATGCTCAGGAATAAAGTGAAGTGGGCTAAGATCAGGGAGGGTTGTTATTCCATAAAATTGTAATATGTATATAGTATGTAGTATTTACAATTTTATGGAACAACAATTATTTACAATAGTGCTGGAAAAATAATATGACAAGAAATATATGATTTGGATAACCAGAGCAAAAAGTACCTGATCAAGAATAGTGTGTTATTGGTACATGAGTGCAGTAAAAGATGGTAAATTAGTATACAATAAAGAGAGAATAAGGAAAACCAGTCAAACAATGCAATTAAACAGGGAAATAAAATGAGAAAATATAAGGAAGAGAAAAAAATACTAATAAAATAAAAGTGGTAAAAATAATAAAAAAATAATACACATAGACAATAAAATATCAGCTCTGTGGAACCACAAAGTAAATTTGTCTCGAGTTTCTTAATTTTGGGGGCTAGCCTTGTGCTCCCCCTTTTGATCTGTCTGTGGATCCTTTGTAACTCCACATCTTATTGCCTCACTTGGGGAAAGAAAAAAAGGATAAAAAGAGAGAGGAAAGAAAAAAATAAGCCTCCTGCTGACTTTAAACCTGTTCAGCATGTTCTGCTGGTCTTCCTGGATGCCACAGGAAGCGGGGGGAGCTGGGCTTCACTTTTCTCCCTTCCTATGGTTTTGAGAGGATGGGGACCTAGTCTGGGCTGCAATATTCACAGATGCCCAGCCTCTGGCCCAGATCTTCTGTGAGCTACCTGGCTCAAATCAGCCCCTTAGCCTCTGGGCATACAAAGAAAGTGAATCTCAGGTGCGCTATTTCACTCAGCCACTCAGTGTCAGGCGTGTGGCTCCAATCAGCCACTTAGTCTCTCAGTGTGCTGTGCGAGTCAATCTCAGGCATGCAGTTCTACTTAGCCTCTAGATAAGCAGAGAATCTTAAAAGCTGCAAGAAAAAAGGAAACAGTTACCTACAAAGGAGTTCCCAGAATACTATCAGCTGATTTCTCAAAAGAAACCTTGCAGGCAAGAAGGGGCTGGAAAAAGTATTGCAAGTCATGAAAGGCAAGGACCTATATCCAAGATTACTCTATCTAACCAAGCTATCATTTAGAATGGAAGGGGAGATAAAGTGCTTCCCAGACTAAGTAAAGCTAAAGGAGTTCTTCATCACCAAGACCTGATTATATGAAATGTTAAAGGGACTTATCTAAGAAACAAAAGAGGATCAAAAATATGAACAGCAAAATGACAACAAACTCACATCAACAATTGAACCTAAAAAAAAAGAAACAACTAAGAAAACAACTAGAACAGTAACAGAATCACAGAAATGAAGATCACACACAGGGTTATCAGCAGGTAAGGGAAAGGGGAGAGTGGGGGAAAAGGTACAGGTTATGTAGCATAAATGGTAGGTACAAAATACACGTAGCCTACCATGCTTGCTACAAAATATGTCTACAAAACATGTAGCATACATGGTAGGTAGGAGGAGGTTAAGAATAGTGTAGAAAATGTAGAAGCAAAAAAACTTATATGTATAACCCATGGACATGAACTAAAAGTGGGGGGGAATGCAGTTGGGAGGGGGTATGTAGGGCAGAGGGGAATAAAGGGGGAAAAGTGGGACAACTGTAATAGCATAATCAATAAAGTATATTTTTAAAATAGTAGTTTAATTTGATGGTAACATTGTGAATACTTTTTTCTTTTATAATTTTTATATAATTTTAGTCCTTTAACAATCAATGTTCATGCATTTACTTACTGTAGTTAAGAATCAACTACATTTTTAAACCCAAAGAATAAAAATAAGTCCAGTATTATGTTTGTGTCAGTACATTATACCAACATGCTCTTAAATTTTATTTCTAAATAACCCTGACATAGCCATTCAAACAATTTGACATTTTCATTTTGGTTTCATCTTGGTTAACTGGTTTGATGAACATCCAAATCACATCCCAGTGTGTAAATTCATTGACCCACATGAACTTGTTTTGAAAAAAGTTTTAAAATAAAGTGTATAATTGTATTTCACAAACATTGAGAAGCAATAACTTTGTAAAGGAGGAAAGCAATATCTTTCCCAACATTTATAATTTATATAAAATACATATGCCAGAAATTATAATGACATAAAAAAAGGAATCTAATGTCAAACATTTCAGCAAATTATACTCTGGAGTCTAGAAACACTTCCACTGAGAGGAGACCATCAATTTGAGTGCATGTGTATTTTCTGTTTCTACAGTATAATGTAGGTAGATTATTATAAATGTGTATGCAACTGTGTATATTTTTGATGTTGAAATGTGAATAGTAAGTATGAAGATTGTTTTTAAGTTAATAGAACTGAGAAACCAGATAGAAAAATCATGTGTTTTATTTTAATTCCCATGAATAAATTTTAAAAAGAAAATGAGAAGTTA